ACTGAACACGAGACTCCACACAGGATTAGGGCTGCACGGTTAATCGAAAAAAGATTGTGGTCTCGATTTGGTTTCCCTCACAGTGTTGAACGCTGAGGTTTTTTTTCTACTGCCCAAATTAGGGATGCAATGATTAACCGGTTTCACTATTAACTGCGCTTCAATTCGTCACGGTTAATTAATTGTAAAGGCTTCTCAACACCGTGTTTCTGCACGGAACAAAACTGCTGCAACTAAACTGTGTGGTAGTTAGTCACTGAGACGAATACCCACACACACTTAATTAACTATGACTAAGGCTATTAACTAAGGCAAGCTCATGCAAGTTCGTTATTTCTTCTGAAGGGACGCGCACAAGACGCAGTGCACTCACGCTTTTTAGGTGCACCTCGTTAGGATGACAGGGGGCTTTTGTGGCTGAAGTCTGAGGAAAAAGCAATACATGGAAAGGACACAGGTTTGCAAACCCACTTAAAGTTATTTATAATGGCGCCGATAAGAGCGATCCTGTAGTTAATGTTAATTTACCAGCCGAGATCAACCGAGTGATTTCAGAGAGAGCGCTGAAAGACTCGGAGTGGATCAGCTATTTAATGGCCTGAATTTCGATGCGTTGCATTCACCGCAAATGTCCGCTAAATGTAAAATCTAACACTGTACACATCAACGCCAAAGAAGCTCGCCTTTACTAAGTTTAAAATGAAACTGCAGCTAATGACAACAATATTGTACTTGTGGTACATAGCGAGAATCCTGCTCAGCCCCACTTATATGGGCCGGCTGACTCAACGGCTTTTTTCACAAACACAGAGAGATGAAAATCAGCGCATAACGAGACTGAGCATTTACAATAACCAAACCAAAAACAAAACTTTTAAAGAGGTGCAGAAGTGAGACTTCTCTTCCTTTCTTTTGTCCATTCTTTCTGTTTATTAAATTGACATGCAAATAAAAACAATAGTGCAAAATAAACATTTCTTACTGCAATGCTTAATTTTTTTTTGATGCAAACCATAGATTTATTTTTCATAAAGTAACAGTAGGACTTTTTATAGCAGATAACTCGCACATTCAAGGCAGAATGTTATTCATTGTTAGTATTAATGTCATCTTCATCATTATTAATATTTTGCAATTATTAGACATTCATTCTTTCATTTATTTTCTTTTCGGCTTAGTCACTTTATTAATCCGGGGTCGCCACAGCGGAATGTACCGCCATCTTATCTAGCACATGTTTTACTCAGCGGAAGCCCTTCCAGCTGCAATCCATCTTTGGGAAACATCCATACACACTCATTCATTCATTCATTCATTCATTCATTCATTCATTTTCTTGTTGGCTTAGTCCCTTTATTAATCCGGGGTCGCCACAGCGGAATGAACCGCCAACTTATCCAGCAAGTTTTTATGCAGCGAATGCCCTTCCAGCCGCAACCCATCTCTGGGAAATATCCACACACACACATTCACACACACACTCCTACACTACGAACAATTTAGCCTACCCAATTCACCTGTACTGCATGTCTTTGGACTGTGGGGGAAACCCACGCGAATGCAGGGAGAACATGCAAACTCCACACAGAAACGCCAACTGAGCTGAGATTTGAACCAGCGACCTTCTTGCTGTGAGGCGACAGCACTACCTACTGCGCCACTGCTTTGCCCCATACACACTCATTCACACTCATACACTACGGACAATTTAGCCTGCCCAAGTCACCTGTACCGCATGTCTTTGGACTGTGGGGGAAACCAGAGCACTCAGAGGAAACCCACGCAAATGCAGGGAGAACATGCAAACTCCACACAGAAACGCCAACTGACCCAGCCGAGGCTCGAACCAGCGACCTTCTTGCTATGAGGCGACAGCACTACTTACTGCGCCACTGCGTCGCCTATTAGACATTCATTTTGGAATTATTGCACAAATATCAATGTCATCTCAACATTAGTTAGATAGTTATTTCTGGTTTTTGTTAGTCCTAATTGATTTTGTTTTAAAATATAATAAATCCGTTAATATACAAGTTGCAGTGGTGCTCATTAATTTTTGGTAGGTGCTCCTAAATTTTTTCTCATAGCTCCTAAAATTTTTGAAGTTGGGAGCACCAGCAATTTCAAGCCCTGCATTAAACAAATACAGTTTTTTTTATTAATTTTTTTTTTACTTATTCTCATTTTTATTTATTTATTGTTCTGTCATTATTTCTGTTTAAATGTCAAAAACATTCACTTATTTTTAAACACAAAGAGAGAAATTTACTATTGTTTGTTTGTTTTATATTATTTTGTGGTGTATTAATTAGTTACTGATCAGCAATAAATAACACTGTAAAATAAAAGGAGTTTTCATCTTATTTTCTAAACTAGTGTGGTTTGAAATTAATGAATGCATAGTAATTGTGATAACCGTGAAACCGTGATTATCTCTCAGACTATAATCGTACAACCAAAATCTATAATCGTTGCATCCCTAGCCCAGATTGGGCCAGTGGTTGAGATTTTTGCTTGACCTGCCAAAATTTTCAACGGCCCCACCAAAAAAAAAAAAAAAAAAGAAAGTTAACAGCTATTTCTTAACCACATGTTTTAAATAATGTGTCAAAAATAACGTCTGTGTTAGTGCCAATAGCCTAGTAATCCTGTCTGTAAATCTCCACTGTTCTATCAATAAAGTTGAAAACCCCTACAAAAATAATAAAAAAATAATTTCTATGAATTTAGAATTTAAATATTTTTAAATGTTCGTAAATGTATAGTGAGCAACATTCCAAGTTTTATGCAAACAAAAATAGCAGTATGGAAAATGTGCAGGTATTTTATTGTAGTTCTAATTTTTTTTTAAATTGGTGACTGACTGACTGCAAACTGTGCAAAACATCACTTCATTTTTTTTCTGTCGTGTTGTTCCCACGTAAATGTCTGCTTCCAAGATATTATAAACAGATGTTTTCATTCAGCCTCATAATTTGATGTTGCTGCCATGTTGCCTTCTCTTTGCTGAACTAGTTGTTTCAAGGTAAATAGTGTGCTCACAACATCCAGTCAGATAAGATGAACCAAAAAGCAATATGGTGTTTACAGCATAAATGCAGGTAGCCTTTAAAGGCTTGAAAGCACAAAATGTTTCTCGATTTGGACTGTATTTGCACCCAAGTGACAAATAGTCACATTAATTAAAAATTAAACTCTAGTCACAAGACAGTACTGGCGTTATCGGGCCAGTAACAATCTGGTCAACTGACCCGAGCGTCTCTTACGCTGGCCCTGGGCCATCAGGCAGTCCTTATAGTTGAACCTTGCTACACGATCTTAATCCGGCATCTCTACGATTTAGCCAATTATATTTTCAGGAAAGAAGCATAAAGGTGGTCGCAAAAGTCTTCACATTGTTTTATACATGTTGCTCAGCAATGTGGACACCGCTAAATGGTCAGCTAACAGAATTTATTATTTTTAATTCACCTAAAAAAGTAATTTCTAGCTTCAAGTAATGATGTATTCACGGCTGTGAACCTGCATAAGCTGTGAATAACAGGTAATAAAGTTGTAAATAACATTCTAACATTACTTTTTAACCATATGTTTGAGAAATACAATAATAGCCTACCCATATTAACCTTTATTTTACATCTACAGAATCGTAAGAAAATTGTGACATTTATTTTAAGCAAAGAAAAATTTTTATTTTCATTTTAGCCAGAATTGTGCAGCCCTACACAGGATCATTAATACACATGCCCCTGGTTTAGTTTGATTGGCCACAAATTTTTCTAATGAGATGACACCAATATCTCCCCCTTGTTAGAGATAGGAATACTAAAAAGGAGCAGTTTTGTGAAGCAGGCAGCCTAGCATGACCATGGAGTGTTCACAAATCTTCAGAATGCAAAATAGGATATACATTTATTCAATGCTACCCATAAGGGTTTAAGCGTATAAGACTTATAAGCATAAGGTCTGTTGGGATGTATTTTTTGTTAGTTTAACAGGTTTATGGTCACATTTGCTGATACATTGTAATGAGGCAGCAAGCAAATGTAAGCTGTTTAATATAAGTGTTAAATGAAAGTCTATGTGTCATGTCATATCGCCAAGTTCTTGGATTTTTCTAGGGTAAAAGGTGAGCAAGAAACTACAAAACTTTTTTTATGTTCATTTCTGTCTGTGCACATACAGCTTCAACTATAAATACATATTTGTTGGTCCTTTTTGTTGAATATAAATATAATTGAGCCAATAATTCAATTAGAACACAAATCAGGAGCAAATTAGGTTGTACTCTAGTGGCATAAGGATAGTTCACTCACTCCTTCTAGCTAAAATAAACATCTCCGCCACTTCAGTTGATAAGACTTACTAAATTTTTCTAAATACTTTTTGACAATGAAAGTATTTTCATTTTGCACGAAAAGGTCGAAATACATCACGTCATCACTGTCTGTGTAAGTATGTATGTGTATGTGTATGTGTGTGTGTGTGAATGTGTGAGAGAGAGCAGCACTGGCAGGAGCTGCAGAGTGCAGAGCTCATTAACATACATGACTGTTCCAAATATGGTCATGTATTTTAATTTGGGTAATTTCTGTGGTTATGATGAGCATAAAGAAATGTTTCTGGAGAATTTTTGAATGTACAGTACCTAAGCCACATACCGACTTTCCAGATATTAGAGAACATTATATAAATGCACTGCATTGCACCTTTAATATACAGTGAAAAAGAACTTCAGAAAAATAATAATTATTGCTACAATTTATTAATTAAAAATCATTTCAGATATATTATTTAAAATCTTATTGATCCAAAACAGTTATTTAATGTGTCAAATTGTACATTGTATGTTTTGTCATATTTGTCGTGTTTTACAAATTTAAAAATGATAATGCAAAAGAGAAAAAGTTATCTTGTGTCTTTTTATTCTTTGAGCCTTTATATGTTAAGTAAGCTTATCTTTTTTCTTCCTGTCCCAAACTCATATTCCTCTGAAACAGATGCCTAGTGGAAATGGCCGCCTGTCCAGCCATAACGTGTCTCCTCAGTACCGCACACACTCCTACTATTCATCTTACCTGAGTCAGGGGCTCGGCGCCGCATGTGTCCAACCAAGCACCTGCCCTGAGCCCAAAGCAGCAGGTCAGTCACACACACACACACACACACACATACACTCACACACGCTTTTAGGGCCATAAACTTTTATCCAGAGATTACCAACAGTGTGAGCAAGTACATCTGAGGGAGGTTCATACTCTGAGTCAAGGGCGCTGTAAAATTGATAAAAATAAATAAATTCAAAGGTAAAACTTTTATGATGGTCATTTGTTCTGGTGACTTCAGATTTAAAGAGACAAGGACCATGTGCCACAGTCTTAGAATATATAAATCATTATCATGTAAAAAATAATAATAATTTGTGTGCTTTGTAAAGGTGCACAGTATTTAATTGTTACTGTTAAAATTATTCACAGATTTTAAAAACATTTAATAGTGTAATTGGCACCATTACAAGCTAATTCAGACTTCTGAAAGATATTTTAGCACTCAGCTTAAAGTAAGAGTATGATTATGGCGTTTGTGTGTTCCACCATTCCCGTATACATCCAAGCTTGCCACCTGCCCTGGGTGCTAATGATTTTTGCATGCTGATTTCCAGTGGTTTCAACATGAGGGTGCCTGTCACCCACACTATCACTGCAGGGGGTGTTATGTTCCATTACTACACAAAACACTCCAGGCTGGGTGGTCCAAGCTCCAAAACACCCATACACAGAAACCAGTGATCTATTATTTGTTTCCTGTAACTATTGTTTATACAGTGCACTAATGCAGGGGTTTGGGGGTTGTGGACACAGCCTTAGTGAACCAAAGAAAAGGGGTCTTATAATTTTCTAGCAATTAAATTTTCTTTTAACATGTTACAATTATTGTTTGAAATATAATGAATAAATAATTATTATTATTTTGACACAAATAATAATAATAATAATAATAATAATAATAATAATAATAATAATAATTATTATTATTATTATTTTTATTATTATTATTAACTGAATGTCTTAAAAATGATTAACCCATTTAAAGTGTTTGACAGGGATCACTTCATTCTCTTTTCTTTTTAAAATTAAATTAATTACAGTTATGTTGTTATTGATTGATTAATCCCATAACAGAAAAAAAACATAATCTTAAATTTTGCATTTTTTTTTATAGAAGTAGGACAAATAATTAAAACACATCTGCTCTTGATTTGTAATCATATCTCTACTTCAAAGACATTTAAAAAAGTACTCTTTTAAACTTTTTTGATAGATTTAAATTATTTTATGTTTAATTTCTTTAAGAAAATATTCATTTTAATTATTTTCCATTTAATTATACAGAGAAGAGTTATATCTAGTCTTTCTAGAGTATTTTATAGCACACTGTCCTATAGTACATAAATTATATTAAGATATCAAACAAATAAATAAAATGAAATAAAAAAGAGTGTTTTTATTCAAACATCTGCAAAAGCGAAATTGCACAACAGTTCAATAACCAATCTATTTTCATAGACTGTCTGAGATATATTCTGTCAAAGAACAAAACAAACAACAGAACCCCAGTCAGTGTATTTGTACACACCAAATAAATGATTTCATTAGACTAGTCATTCATCAATATAGTTGTTATACTTCATTAAATGGATTAGCATTCTGAATTAATCAATTAAATGTAAGATTCAACTAATTTTTTAAGACAGACTTTTCTCAACTCACTGGCAGTTTTAGCTTTTAATGAGGACATCATACTGTTCATCTCTCACGTCATTGGTCAGTGTTATTTCAGTGGTAACTCTAATTTTATATCATTGTCGATAGTTCAGTCTGTGATGAATCAATTAAGCACCTTGTGTATGTACCGACATTTTCATCTTTTCCTGTTTGTTATTAAAATCACCAATTTGCAAATCTGTAATCTGCCAAGTTACTGAATTGAGTCATGAAAAGTCAACATTGGTGATACACAGTTAGCAATAAATAACACACATTCAGATTTAATACTTTTCATAATAACAATGCACTTAGAAACAGTGGCGTCTGGATTTAAGAAAGCTCGTATCTTGACTCCTCTGTACTGCCTCTAGTGCCTGTGCGGCGTGTATTTATTTTCCCTTGTGCTGGGGTAATCAGTTGGCCAAATATGAGGCCAAATAACCTTCAGGAGTGCGACGCTGTCCTTTGCGAGCGGCCCCCACAGCTGTCTCTGGAAAATTGCCTCTGGGGTTAGTGAGCGGGAACAAGTTAAGATTTACAAACAATGATGAAGCTTGTCATGCGTCTTTCTCCATCCGTCACGAGCGGCGGCCTGCCGGGGCGTCGAAGTGTTCTTCATAAAGCTCAGCTCGCTGTGAAATACACCCCTGTGCGCTCTTTACTGCTGGGAGCTCGTCAGCAGCGCTCCGCCATAAATTGCCTGGGCCGGAGGTGACACTGCACTCTATCACCCGCCGGGGCAGTCTTACCTCCGCCCGCAGCCACCCCCACCCGCACCAGGCGCCCGGCCCGTGAGATGATGTGCCCGCTGTGAGTTATGTAGGAATTTCAGTGTTATACGAGACAGTCTATGGCTTTTACCATTTTCTCTCGTACTCTGTTTTTCTTTTTTCTTTTTGTTGTTTATTATCAGAGGATTCAAAGTTAGTTTTGTTTGCTGGCTGGGCCAAGTTTAGGCATGGGGTGGACAGGGGGCTTTCTATGTGCCAACAAGCATATTTGAAGAACATTTTTGGTTTACTCAATACTTCATAAAATGTCTGTGATTCACCCCCATCAGCCAAAAAATGAAGGTGGGGGTTTGCTCTTGTACTTAAAATTTTCTGAGTAGGCATGACCTTTAAAGGAAGTGCAAAGCTAAATTGATACATTCATTTTAGTCATTAATGTTTAGGTTTTTATCAATCCTGTTTATTATTCACTGAACTTTAGTTTTTAATCAACATTTCAAGAATTTATTAGTGTAGTGATGGAACAATTGTATTTAATTGGTATGTTTGAGCAAAAGTAACTAGGTTATACAGTTAGCACTGCTAACAGCTTTGCATTTTTGACAGTACTTAAGAAAGAGCTGGCTAAAGTTATTTTATGAGTTAAGGTAACATATAGGGTAGGTTTAGGGTTGGTACCTGTTTATTACTTATAGAAATATTTATGATAAGTACACGGGAAGTACATACGGTACTGGATTTTAAAATAAAGTTCTATCAATGGACTATGTGCACAGCTAGTGTTTTTCAGTAAATGATTAACTTCCGTTGAAAGCTTTATGTGACTGTTTTCAATTTCATATGGTTTATTATACAGCATCGAGGTTGTAATGTAATTAAAATATAGTTAATTAGACTTATGCATCTTTTTTGGTTGTTAAAGCGTAAAAAGAGATGAAAAACCATGTAACCACTAGCACCGTCAGTAGCAGCAGGCAAGCTCAGAAATTTCATTAATAATACTGGGGTAAAATTCATTCATTTATTTTCTTTTCAACTTAGTCACTTTGTTAATCTGGGGTCGCTACAGCGGAATGAACCGTCTACTTATCCAGCATATGTTTTACACAGCGGATGCCCTTCCAGCTGCAACCTATCTCTGGGAAACACCCATACACACTCATACACTACGGACAGTTTAGCCTACCCAATTTGCCTGTACCGCATGTCTTTGGACCATGGCGAAAACCGGCGCATCCGAAAGAAACCCACATAAACACAGGGAAAACATGCAAACTCCACACAGGCTCGGGGTGGGGAGTAACTTAATTGTTTTATGTTCAATCCACTTAAATTTGTAAAAACAATTAAGTTAACTTAATCAATTTGTGTTGTGACAACATGAAGGAACCCAGAACCCAGTCCTTATATTGGATACCAACCTTCATTTATAACGCTATTCTTGACCATTTGGGTCTATTATCAATGTTGCCACCTCCCTGTCCCACCCCCTTCTTTGGACAGTACGCTAATACCAAGATTTCTTTTAACAAATGCCATGCTGTTATTTGAAATGCATGTAATTTTGAGATAGTACTTATTTAGCACTGTTGAATTATAATCCTATATAATTACTTCATAGCACTGAAATCAATTCTCTAATGTTTTAATCTAGTCATGAATCTAATATGAACAAATGTCAATTATGTATCTCATTTTCTATACATTTAAACTATCATATGCTGTTTTTGCTTTAGATAGTGTGGTTTGTGTTCACCTTGAAAATGCAAAAATAAAATTAATTTTAACAAAACGCCAGTCAAATATACAGATAATTAAAAAATAGACATAATTAAATATCTATCAGACTCTAGTGTTCGATGACAAAACAACAGTAGAAAATATAAACTATCAATGGTATGTACTGAAAGTGCAGAATGGACTTTCATGGACTTTACATTGCATTATTTTGGGGCACATGTTGGTGTTTCAAGAGTTCCCACTTAGATATGCTTGGCACTTATAGCAGGTTTGGCATGCTGTCCCGGGAGAGAACCCTGAGCTCGGAGATATTTGAGCCCAGGGCTCCCGCCCGGTCTAGAAGCATATCAGGAGAACCGAGATCAGGTAGGTCTCGATCGCTCCCCCTTTAGAAGGGGAGAAAAAGGAGGAGATGGGGTGGAAGGGGGGATTCTTCCAAAATGAAGATAGTGCAATGAGGAGAAAGTGATCCATTTATACTAAGCTAGGATCATTCTGATTGGATTATTACTGATTACGGATGAGTGGCCAGCGGTGCACAATCATATCACGTGCTCCTCTCGAAATTAGTTTATGAAACTTCACTTGTGGCTGTCCATCACTAATTAAAAAATTTATTTGAATACAAATAAAAATTGAGTTTTATGAACAAGTAATTTATTAAACATTCCAGTCACATCGATACTTATGTAATGAGATTTTGACATGCATTGATCAGTCAGATGATGTTTACCAACCACAGATTTAATTGATGTAATTCTTCTTAGTCAAAATGTGATATTATACGGACAGACCACCCGTAAAAGTTCCAGGAAAGCAAAATCTCATAGGAGCTATCAAAAGGCCCATTCATTCTCATTCAGTGCTGAATAACAAAAGGGGAAATAATGATTCTCTCCAAGCT